TAACTATAGAATTCTGAAAAAAGTCCCCTGAAAGTGAGAAAATTGTATTACAATCTGCACATTCAGGTTCTGCAATGGTTGAGGAATGCAAGAAAGAATGTTTGATCCGACTGCCAAACATCACCTTAGTTGAAAAGGGAGGGAAGATGGAGAAGTGGACTCTGACTGTGACTTGGCATGGAATAGCAGTGAGGAAGAGTGCTTTTGCTCCCTCTGCCTGTTGTCCAGCAGAGAGGTTGAAAATGGTGCCTGCCATTGATCATCACTCTTGCTGCATCCTAAACCTTCAAGAAATGCAGCATAGTCTACACAACAGCTTGCCACCTTGGCAAAGAGACATAATTGAAACAGAGCATCCAAATCCTGTGAATTTGACAATGCCAATTATACGATTGTCAAACTGTCTTCCTTGATGAGTTAATAAAATGAAAATATGATTAAAATATGTCCTTTTCATCTTGTCCTTTTTTCCCCACGCGTAGAAAAAGAGCTCTTTTCTGCAGCACCAGGGAATACTACATTTCTATTTTATACACAGAAAAAATGACTGCATACCAAATAAGCATGGGTCATCCGTACCAAAAAAACATGGAAAAATTCTTTTATCTTCATGTATAAATATATTTTATTTATACTGTTTCACTTTTAAACAAAATTCCAACACTATTACTAATGGTAAACTAAAACCTTTTTCTAACCCAGAAGCAAAAGATGTGTTTGTTTTTGTGATGTTAACAGTACACACCAAAGTCCACTGTCACTGATGAGTCACATTTTGCTAACAGCTCATGTCCAATATTTAAAATTTTTAAATAGCGTTGTGACTATTTTTTCTAGAAAAATTCAATTATTCCTCCAGGCCACAAATATGCAACCAGTACTGACTTCCTGTCTATGAATTTAATCCCACCAGCTATGAGTTAGAGTACAATCAAATCCTACCCGATCAAGTTTCACAACAGACCACGCACCAAACTTCAGGAGTTGGAATTCTGAAATTTCACCAGACACCCCAAGAGCTGACAGCATGCTGTGCACAGGGTGATGATTCTTGTTATTTTAATTATATATATGTAGAAATACCCTAGACTAATCTTTATGTAAGCAAAGACATTAAGACAAGACCTGTTAGATCATGCAAGCTTGTTCCTTTCTATAAATTTTTTACTGTTTTCCCAAGAATATTTTAAAATACCTCAAGGCTAGAGCATTGACTACTTCATAAAAAGACCATTCCAGAATCTTACCAACATCACTTCTAGGAGTGATGACTCTTACTACTCAGTTTCTTGGTTTCATCTGCTGGACTCACATGAAAACACATCTTTCTCATTATTTATACACCTCAAACACTTGGTGTCTGCACTATATGTGGCCATGTACAGTAAAGCTATTTAGGAAGAACAGGTAATTGTTTCATTAGTGCTCTGCTTTGTGTTAGGTAAATAAAATGAAACTTAACATTTCATATACACAACAGTCCTTTCACAAAGGAACTGTGTTGTTGTATAACTTCTTTTTATTATTTCATTTGAAGCAACAGGAATTACATTAACAATAAAATATTGTGACATGAAATCCCACCATAACTTCCCATCAAAATGCTATAGCAAACATAGATGGTAAAATATATATTTGACTGATACAACTCTACAACATTTTTAGATTTACTACAAGCTTTCTCACTGATAACTCGATTTGGAATACCACTTGGGCAGTAATACCAATGCACACACAAATGAAAACCTGTGTCACTATTAGATTCACAATTCCTGCATATTCCTGGCTACCAACAACACTATGCAGTTTCAACAGGGCTACGTGAAATAATATTTAATATGCTGCTGGCATTAAACATAGTATTCTGATAATGGAAACATCAATAAAAACAAGTACATACTGCCAAGCACTACTTCACCGTTTTTTGGAACGCATAAACACAACCACACTTATAGCAGAGGTAATACAGTTCTGCGTGTTGAAGCAACAGTATTGGAATACCTGCGCTCTGCCTACAGAAAAATGAAATGCAGCTTGAAGTGGTGTGTGTGCACGTGCATGTGTGTGTAAACTACACTGTATATGGTAATTAAATAAAATTGACAAGCAGAAAAGGCCATGACATAGTTTGACAGTGCAAACATACCAGTTTTCCTGAAGGTATTTTAATAAAAAACAAATAATCCCCCAAATGACCTTAATTTTAGTTTATACATTCCTCTGGACTTATCAGAGACCCAACAGCAATATGCTGTGTTAAGCAACAAAACTTTAATCATTCTATCTAAGAATTCGGTAAAGGGAAACCCAGTGGAAAGAGAACTTATAAACTGTTAATACACTAGAAAACTGGAAGCTCAAGGGAGAAAAGTAAAGCAGCAGGATTTGATATTATTTCTCCCCAAAACAGGGGAAGAGGAACATTAGTTTAGTGTAACTCTAGAGCAGGAATCCCTCCAAAGGGTTATAGAGATGTTAATGGGGTGGAAAAATGACACCCATTTTTCTTAATTTAAGACTACTGATACAGAACATTACTCCTATACAGGTTCATGCCAGGCAGAACATTCTCACTCTAGTCTAGGATACAATTTTGAAAACCTCTAGAGAAGCTGAAAAATGCTCCAAAAGTTTCACTTTTACTCAAATTCCAAACAGAACCTTAAACTGTTAATCTTAATTTCATCTAATCGCTGCAAAGTTTGTCTACTGATCTTATGTTCTCAACAACACATCAGTTTGCATTTAGTATGAATAGTTTTATACCAAAATAAGTACTTTTGCCAAAGAATTGTATCTAATGGGACATACCAAAAGGGGCCATCACTGAACCTGAGGATTAGATCCGGGAAAAACAAAATTCTTTTTCTATTATGCATTAACAGATGGCTTTTGCAAGTTAACAATCAGGTTACTTAATTTTTAATTCGGGTCTGAACATTAAAAAAATCACCATGCTTCTTACATCCGGGGACTCACAGTTTCCTGAGTGTATAGCTTTAGAGTTAAATAGTGAGTGTGGGACTAGGTTATTACACAAAAGGTTTCAGAGAATTTTTTGTGAGAGAAATGGTGTGAGATCTTGGTACTCCTACCAAAAGTACAAGTGTAGAGAAGTACTTAAAGATATTCTATATTCAATCCAGTTTTTGCTCCCCTTGATTGTGAAATTAAAACTTATTTAAGCTTATTTCAACACTCATGATACTCCACGCAAAAAAAGTGGGTTTTTTACTGCTTTTTTTTTTTTCCTACTTGATCAAACTTTACCAAATGAGGAATCTAACCAAACTGCTACAACTCCCCAAAATGCTCTCTGTACCTCTAAAGGTAAAGAGCTATGTAGACTCTCTTGGCCATTTTTATTAAAGGAACTAAAAATCAGAAAATAAAACAAAACTAAAGTAAATCTTTCTTCATAATGTAAGATTAATGCAGTAGCAAGAATAAAATAGGCAAATGGAAAACCTCTATAGCTCATTAGCTCTTTCTCCAAATTAAGTATTAGTGGCAGCAACAAATCACAAACAACTCACGATTCTGCTACTCGAGGACTCAAAAGAGAGGGAATAGAAAAAGACGAGCTTGGAATTAAAGATGGGAGAAAGTTTGCTGCGATTGAAAAATTTAATGTCTCAACACGCTAGCTTATACAAGAGAATGAAAATAATCTGTAGACTCTTTCCAGAAAGCAGTCTTGGGGTATTATGTACAGCTCTAAAATAAAGCCCATTTAAATAAAACTTTTTCACAGTTCAAAAAATTAGAAGAGAGAAAACCTACTACTTTATGCTCTATACATGTAGTAAATACTGGCTTAAATAGGAGATTTCAAGAAACTTCCTATGCATATGACTTTGTCAAAATTGCTCTCGTCTTTGGCAGATGTTTCTGTGTTCTATGACTGGCAAAGTTCCACATTTCTTATTCTAAAAACTACATCACAGAATCTACTTCTAGTTTAAAACAACCAGAGATTGTTCAATTAGAATGCATAGTTTAAATTAAAAAGCAGTGATTGATTTCTCAGCTTATTGTTGCAGAAACCTTAGTTTCTACTCAGCTAAAATAGGAATCTCTTTGCATTTTACTTATGGCTACTCATAAATGCCTCATACACCATCTGAAGAAATGGAAGGTTGTATTTTTCTTAATTTCTATCACATGTTATTAATGTCTAGCAAGACTATCACAGAACTACTACTTTGCAATATCATGATGCACCAATTACCAAAGGTTAAACACTTATTTCCCAAACTGGGTTGTATAACAATACTCACATCAAACGAAGATTATTTAACATTGCAAGCAAGTCCATGTTCTGAACTTCTTACCTCCTCAGATATGTACATCCACAAAGAGTGGCACTTGAGCTAAACAGAACTGGTGAAAATGCTACTGTATTGGGACACTGAAATAACTACAGCCATACTACAGAAGTTCTGCTTTTGAAATAATTGCTTGCAGAATTTGCATTATTTACATTTTCATATTTACTATCATATTATATATTATCACTATCAAACACTATGCAAAAAAAGAAGAAAAAAACAACACAAGAAATTGAAAACAAATATACAGTTAAATCAAGCCATATTCTCCAAAGTTAACAATTACAGAGACTGAAAACTTAACATGTACTTTTTGGCCAATGCTTAACATGCCAAATTAAACAAAAAACTACTCCAAGTGAACAGTTTTTACACAATAACATCAGAAATTATTATTTTCAATTATTTTAGTGGTTAGTTATAATTCAATGATAATTCTCTAACCTGTCACATAAGCCTGCATTTAGTTCTGGGTAAATTTATCATAATCATCATCACTCAACATCAGTAAGTGTAATTGTGGTGCAATGTCCGTAAGAGCCTATTAAAAGACTGCCATCAATCAATTTTAGTTACCCACCATATATCTCCTGTCATCACTTTCTTCATTATAACAGTGTACATAATGTAAAAAATACAAAATAGGAGTGGTTTTCAATAAAAACTTACCCTATAAAAAGCAGTTGTCAGGGGTAGCAACGCTGCAGCAATGCTATATTCTTCTGAAGATGAACAATCCTTCAAGAAAAACATGAGGAAAATAAGCAAAACCATTTTCAATTTATGCATTATAATTTCATTTCTGCCTTATGGAGTTCCTTTGATATCCTTCCTATACACAATGTAACTTCTAATCACTTGACAGCATGTAAGAATAACATATATTTATGTGTGTGCATATGTGTATACATATACATATCTTTCCTTGATTTCTGCTAGACAGGTATTGCTATGATTCTTCCCATTTAAGGAATTTATTAGTGGCTTTCTCACTCCCATTTCTGAAATATAATTTCAGCAACATAGTTTACATATGAAAAGGAAAGTATTCCTCCTTTAGGAAACAATAAAAAGGTAGCTTGCTTCCATTTGGGTCAACAGCAAACCTGACTAAAATGGAAGTGATGTGATGACCAAAGAATGTACCTTCAAAAAGTTTACACAAAGAAATTGACATTTATTTAATATGAAATAATCACCTCCACAGCCTCTACAAAAGTTTGGCACAACTTTAAAAGAAGATGAAAACCCATTCTCTTCACAGTCTCAGAATGCCTCATTCAACAGTCAAGTGTGTCATTCATGTCTCTCTAGGCTGAAAAGCGTACACCAAAGTAAATCAACTAGTAACTGTACCCATGAAAATAGTGATTTTATTACGGAAGTCTTTTAAAAGAAACCAGAATTGGTATGTAACTTAATATTTAAAAAACAAACTACTTGAATTTTTAAGACTTTTTTAAAAACATAGAACAAAAAATACTCAACAAGAGTTAAAAAAGATACTTTTTTAAGTGACTAGATTTTTTTCATTAGCTCTTTTTGCCAACACTGAAGAATGCAGTAACACACACAGTTCTACCACACAAATGTATCACTATTGTGCCCCTTGTTGAATGGCAAAACAACATTTCCATTTGAACAATTCATTTCAATATTTTTAACATTCATTCTTAGAACAGCCACCCTCCAACTCAAACCACACTCCTATTAACTATCTGTAACATCTGACCAAATTCCAAAATCGAACTATCTCAAGTGTTCCTCCGCCAGACTTTTCATTTATGCCTTCATCTCATACCAGAGTTCTCTAAAACACGACAACTAGCAAAAACTTGGTACCAGCCAACTGTGATAGCAGAAATAAAAAATCTGCACTACAGGAACAATCATGTTAAGGATCATTAGGATGGTATTTGCATTCATCTCACTCTTCTTTCTTCAATGGCTGCTGAGTGATTATGGCTGCAGGTTTAAAACAATAGACCAAAAAACTCATCACAAGACTATTTTGCTTCTCATTACTTTAAAACTCCATTTCATTCTTATGATTTTCCAATAACAAATACTTCATCTTCTATTACTTTAATCAAGCTTACCTAAACAGAATACCAATGTCCATACACAGTTAAATATAGTAGCATTTAGAAAACTTACATGTGTATTCTGAAAAGGCGTACAACAAGTTCACAGATGTGAAGCTTTATTTCTGCAGAGTTACTGAAGGTTTTAACATGTCTAACTCTGCATGAATGCATTATGCTAACTGCTCATGGAAAACAAAAGTTGTGCAAGTGCTCACACTTCATAACACATTCCAATCTGGTCGAGGAAAACAGTAAGAAAAACGGACACTGAGAAACTCAATATATGTTTTAATGATGCCTTTCAGTATTGTGACATGTATATAAAAAAACCCAAATTAGTTTGTAAGATGTCAGAACAGTAAGACTAAAGGACATAGACTCAGCTGCTTTTCATTTTCAATTCCTGCAAAATTTCCTATTGTTACCCATATCCGTAAGCCCCATTTGGAATTTAGCACATGTATTTGTAGTTTAGTGTTAAGATATGATAAATATTGTTAGTATTTTTTCACTTAATCAGAAAAATTCCCATTTAAAATGAGACGTTACAACCTTTAGGAATGCTCAACAGTTTTCAAAGAAATACGTATCTTAGTCCTGTATGTTCTTATTTATAACCAGGTATAAAATGACCCATCCTCATTGTTTCAAGTTATCTACTTAAACCCTTAGCTCAAATTATTTGTAAGAGTTTTGGCTTTTACCCAAAATATACATTAAAATATCTTTATAAAAACTGAGCAACGTATCTTCACCTAGAGAGCATTCAATATTCCAAGAGCTAACATATGTCTCAAAGATATATATCATCACCACATAAACAACACAGTAGATTATTTTTCCATTCCTTCTTGCAAGTATGAAATTCTCCACATATTCTATGTCAGCAGTACCCCCTGGACTTGTAGTATGGAAGTATTATATATATATGTATTTTTTCTCCTCCAGCGTATCACAAGAAATGTAAAATTATCTCAGTTAGGAGTAAAGTATAATACTGCTGCTTTAAGAATAGTGAAATTAATTGTTTGTCTGCTTTATAGCTGCAAGACAGAATGCCATAGTTAACAGAGATGTTGCACTGAAATCTTAGCTTCCCAATTTTACAGGCAAACCAAAGTACTGGAAATGTCATATATGTATTGTATGCAATTAATTTAGACTCCTGAAACAAAGCAATCCAGCTGCCTTATATATAATAATGTCTTTACGAATTCTGAAAAATACATCTCACTACTGTTACAGAAGTAGACAAATCAAATACCATAAAATAACTAAAGCTGTTCCCCCTAATTTGCACAAAATGAAGCTGAAATACATCTGGGGAACAAAAATTATTCTCAGCAAATTAATTTCCTAAAAACAATGTTTTATCACAGTGAAATACAGACTTCCACCATGCCATGTGCAGAGTACTGCTTTGAATCCATGCCTAATTGAGTGAAGACCTGACACATTATTTTGGCCATACTGATCACATATTCAGATAGTTGCTGAACTCTGTAGCAGGTTGGAAGTGTTACAGGAATTTATGCACATTTAAAATAGTTTTGCTATACTGAATTGACGAGTGAGTAATAAAAAGAGAATGTTTTTCCTTACATTACTTACTTTGATAATACATGTGATTTACTTCTATGTTCCGCTCAGTTTAAATATGCAGCAAAACTTTGGTGGTTAGACATGGTCATTACATTGCAGAATTGACAGCTAGAAAGTTATAGGTTTTGACGGCTTGGATGGATGCATGGGACTGCTAGTATCTGGTGAGGCACCGATGGCTTTTGGAATCTGGCAGGTGGCTCAGGCTTCTGGTACGGGAGAGGAGAGGCAACTCTTCTCCTCATTCTTGATTTCAGAACAAGTACTGACCTGAACTTTTGTTTGGAAAACAAGGCATTGTATGTCATCATTAAGTTGAGATGCCCTCCACAATCTGATCCTAGCGATGAACAGCTAAAAAAAAGCCACCCCAGGTAAAGGTTCCTCCTTGATATGCTACTGAAGGTGCAGGCCCAGATTCAACAACACCCTTAAGCTCCCTTTGATGTTCCACTGACTACAAGAGCAAGCCAAAGTCAGCGAAGCATGGTGACAGTTAAGCACAAACTTACGTACTTTCCTGAACAGTAAATAACAACTGATACTTAGAGATTCCTACTTTCTCTTAGTCAGACGACAAAAATCTAGAAAAGATGTATTAAATATCTGATAACATTTGGAGTGCAATTTTCTTTTTAAATCCATCTTAATAGTCTCTCTCATTAATTGCTATCTGATACAGTATGTTTCCTGTGTTAAACCACATTCTGCTTTCGGCAGTAAGCTTTTCAGACAGACATCACATTTTTAATAACCTACAGAAATCTGAGTATGCTGAAAACTTGAGAACCAATCTTGCTTTACATTCAGCAGCACTATAAATAAATGGAATTACCCACAGGCCTGACTATCGTATGAAATTAACGTAACAGGCCGTGAATGCATTCAAACTAAAAAGCTAAACATGGCAGCTCTTGATCCATACTTTTTTGGCAGTACAGTACGATGCATGTATGCTCTATTAAAATACTGCTAAAGAAACTCTCAATGCTGCATTGTCCCTCTTGAGAAGTATTGAATGCTGTCAATTTTCATGAAGACCAAGAGCATTCATCACCATGCAGGACTAAGCTCATAATGAATCAAGAAAAAAATGCCAGAAACTTGAGAGTCATATATGTTTTTAAAGCACTAAGACAAGAATTGTTAAGTCAGCATGTGTAAGGTAACTATAAACTATGTGCAGTACATTGGCTACAAATTACAGGTGAAATACTGGTTCCAGATTCAACAGATTATTTCAGTGGTGCCAGGATTTAATCCTTATTGTTACAGATATATTACGTGGGCAGAGTTCTACTGAATCACAGAATTTTTATTGTTGATGCAGTTTATATTTTGGAAGTACAAGACTATTCTTTTTGTCTAACATAGTAAGAGAATTCAGCAGTCCAGTTTAGAAAAAAATGCTTTGTTTGTTAAAAGGAATAGGGATTCACCATGTAGAACTGCAATGTAATTCAAAACTTGAATTTTAATGAGCTGATTCTAGAAAAATAATTCATTTTCATTAGATAAGCTGAATAAAGTTTATGCATCCATATATAAGTACAATATTAATGCAATTGAACTATTAAAAATGGTAGTTTCTATCAAAGAAAACCTATTCCACGTTAATCGATGTTACCACCAATGTCCTTTATATTCAGTCTCAGCAGAGTTAAAAATCCAAGTAAATAAACTGACAATTTCACCATGAACTGACTATATCTAATACAATTATATGCTGCCTTGAAAGAAAGGTGAAAATAGCATAGTCCTATTTAGAATTTCCAATGTAACTTTTAAAAGTATTTAAATTACAAGTTTTAACTCCACAGATAAAGCCATCATCTGGAGCAATAGTCAAAATGACATATTTTGCTGGAATAAATGCCAATATGACATTAATTACGTACATTACTTATTACTAACAGCATATAATTAACTTCAAAAGAAAGTCTGGAATCTTCTTATTGAAATCATAAGCAAAATTGTTTTTTTCAGTGAAAATTAATGTACAGTTACTTTCTTTCTAACATTCATACGCAGCTTTGCCTAGTGAAGTTA